AATGTTGAATATGTACAGCAACTTGCAGTAGACTAAAAATTTTTGCCATTAAGAATGTGTACATAAATATCTGTTTTCAGAAATGAGTCTCTTTGGAAAATTTATATTTTTCTTAAAATACAGACTAAATATAGCAATACAGCATAGTTGTTAGGAAAACCAGCTTTGCTACTCAAAGAATTTGAGCTGCAAACATAGTCATAAAAGAAATGGGTGAAATGATTTATGTATAAGATGATTTGTGGTAACTATTTATGATAATATTTATAATGACTATTGACAATAGCAAAACAATGGAAATAAATATTCAGGTTTTAGATGAAAAAAATATGTGGCACAGACATGAAATGGAATATTATGAAGATACAAAAGGAGTAAAGAAGACTTTTGTATATGAGAGGCATATCCATCTTTCCACTTGACTAAAATTTCTTCAGAGTGGTGTTAAAGGGAAATTTGAGAAATCAGGTGATGTTTCAACCACAATTTTCTTTTCTTTTTTTGAACTTTCTATTTTGAAATAATTATATATCCCCAGAAAGTTGCAAAGATAGCACAGAGAGGTCCTTGTATCCTTCATCTAGTTTCCCCCAATGGTTATGGCTCAGGGAACATAATACAATATCAAAACCAGGAAATTAATATCACTACAATGTGCATGTCTGCTATTTTATCACCTAGGTAGTATTGACTAACCACCAGAACTGTTCTGTCACTGCAGAGATCTCCCTGGTGCTACCTTGTTAGTACCTACCCTTCCCTACCCCTGGTAACTACTAGTTAGGTTTCCATTTCTAAAATGTTGTCATTTTGAGAACTTTATATAAATAGAATCACATAGCAGGAGATTGTGGGTTTTTTTTTCCACTTAGCACAATGCCCTTGAGATCCATCCAAGTTGCTTCCTGTATCAGTAGTTTGTTCTTTTTATAGTTTAATATTATTCCATGTAGTATGAGTGTACCACGGTTTTGTTTAATCATTCACCTGTTGTAGGACATTTTGACTGTTTCCAGTTGGGGGTTATTGCAAATAAAGCTACTGTGAACAATCATGTACAGGTTTTTGTGTGAACATAAGTTTTCACTCCTCTGGGATAAATGCCCAGGACTGCAACTGCTGGGTTGTAGGATAAGTGTATGCTTAGTTTTCTAGAAACTGCCAAATTATTTTCCAGAGTGCTGTACCATTTTACATTCCCAAACACAGTTTTCTTTTTATACAAAATGTTATTGACTACTGTTAGCACATGGCACTAGGCCAAAGGCACATGAGAATCGAAGATACTTTTAGTTTCTAGAAAAAATAAATTTTATATATATTAAGTGAAGAGAAAAATACAGGTCAAAAGTAATCTCTGCTGGGCCATAGTCCTATGTTTATTGTGTCAGGTTTTCAAAATGAGTCTTCCCTTACCATCAAGCTAAGCTTTTGTTGGAAAGCTACAACACTTTGCACAGGCCACCTGTGTTTTCCCCGGATCTCTGACCCTTGCTTATATTCTGCCCCAAGGCTCCCCATGAAGCTTAGGCTTATTCTGGAACGTTCTAACCCCAATAATAGTCATGTAGAGACCTTAGAGAGTCATTTCGGAACCATACCCTCCCAGAGACCTCTGTATCTATACAACCTATCCCCGGTTCCCCAGCACTAAACATCATTAAAACTCTATTGAATAGTCTGTCTACCCTCACCCCACCCTTTAAGCTTTAGTTGTTAGAATACACAGGTGAGGTCACATTCCTCTGTGTTAGAAGCGCAGGCTCCAGGGTCATTCTACCCTTCCTGGTGTCCTTGGACAAGTAACAACTCCTGAGCCTGAATTTCCTCACCTTTACATTTGAGGGGATAAAAACGGTACCAGCTAACAGGGCCATTTTGTTATCTGCAGATAGTCACAGAGTGTCTGCTATGGGCTGGCTGAGGATACAGTTAACAAAGGGAAGCCCTGACCTCAAGGATCATAACTAAAAGAGCAAATACAAGTACAGTGTTCAGGTATCAGTTAGGAAGGATGTTGGATGTCACTACCATGACTTCTAGTGCTTTGATTAAACCTCAGAGGTGAGGCCTTCTGGCCAAGTGTCTGCGATTTCATATTGTTAGAACATTCACTGTATCCCTGGGGGTTGCAGCTTTCTATATGTTTGCTATGGCTGAACCAAGAAAGAGGGCATATGCAGACTTCTACAGAAATTATGATTCCACAAAAGATTTTGAGGAGATGAAGAAGGCTGGTATCTTTCAGAGTTGCAAGGTGATTTTCGGAATGTAAAGAATTTCTTTGGGTTGAGTTCCATGGAAGTTTCTTACTGACCTGTGTTCCTGAACTATGAAACATGAATACTGGGTTATGGAATAGTTTCTCTTGATTAATAAACAACTAATAAATACTGTGGACAGTAAAAAAAAAAAAAAAAAAAAAAAAAAAAAAAAAAAAAAAACTACAGTGTTCAGCCTGGCTTTTGGCCTGTTGTTGGCCTCTGAGAAATGTTAGTTGTTTTATTATCATAGCCAAACTTAACACTTATTTATGTATTAAATAAGTATTTAATGGACTTGAATGGAATATGAACCCAGTATTACACATTTGCTCTAGTATATTTGTATTCATTGTAGTCAGACATTAATCACCTTTAATTGTAGGAGCTGTGCTTGTCTCATGCCCTTGCTAACGTCAAATCAATTGCTGATCAAGGGACTCCATTTTGTGCTTAAAACTTAGGATTATTCTGAATTTAATACCTGGAATATCAGATTCAATAAGGGTCTCTTGCTGAGCACACAACTTTGAAGGAAGAGTCCTTTTTTTTTTTTTTTTAATTCAAGTTAGTTAACATGAAGGAAGAGTCTTTATACAAACTTGTAAAAAAGTCCCTTACAGTGTGTTTGGAAGGTTCATACACTATTAAAAGACTCCAACAACAATAAAGAACACTTATATTGTTTATAAAAGGTGGCCCATTTCATAAATACTTAATCAGAAATACAAACTTTATGGAGTGCCTGGCTGGCTCAGCTGGTAGAGCATGTGACTCAATCTTGGGGTCGTGAGTTCAAGCCCCACATTGGGTGTAGAGCTCACACACACACACACACACACAAAATTTAGCAGAGGAAAAAGAAACTCTTAGAGGAAATTTTCATTTTTAAATCTGTAAAAATGCCAAATAATGTGGCCAAAAAAACCTCCAAAAACATGGCAGCCAATTGAATGCAAAAATAGTCCAAAGAGCCTTGAATTTTAGGTAAACTGTGCATAATGCAAATTGGTAAATGAGTGAACTGGTCACCAGGTAAGTTTATCAATAAAACACATGGCTCTGCTCAGTCTGTTCCTAGGGCAGAACCAACATAGTGGCCACAGGCAGGTTGAACATTATGATAGTGCTGGATGAGAGTGTCCTGTTGGCTGAACTTAGGTTATATCCCTGCTTCCAGGAAGTGGAAAGAGGGATTTGGGGCCTCTCTGACTTATAGGGAAAGTTGAGGCCCTGTTCCCCACTGTGACCCACACAACCACAGCGGTGTCCAAATACAGTTGACCCTTGAACAACATGAGTATGAACTACATGCACAGGTTCCGTGTTGCTTATGCACGGATTTTTTTTTTATAAATGTGGTACAATGCTGTAAATGTAATTTCTTTTATAATTTTCTTAACATTTGCTTTTCTGTAGCTTACTTTAAGAATACAGTTATATATATAAATATATTATAAAATATGTATCATATATTTATATATTTATAATGTGTTGATTTACTTTATGTTACCAGTAATGCTTCTGTCAACAGTAGGCTATTGTAGTTAAATTTAGGGAGAGGCAAAAGTTATACTCAACTGTGCGGGAGTCAGCACCCCCAACCGCTGCATTGTTCAAGGGTCAAATATAGTAACCAATAGATGTTCATTATAATGAATGAATAGTCAGGTAACATGAATTCCAGCAGCAGTTCAATGACCATCCAGTAATGTGACTTTGCAAAAGTTCTGTAACCTCTCCTCAGCTTGAGTTTACTCATGCATAAAGTGCCAGAGTGAACTTAAGATGGTCACTACCGTCCTGTAAGCACTAAGATTTCCTGAGATTTCCTGCTGTTAGAGCTCCCCTCATGCTGTGACCTTTCCAGTAGACTGGAGGCTAGGATGGAGATAAGGAGTACCATTTTTTGTTAGAGGCTTAAGACAGCCAAGACTTCCTATAGCAAAGGTTAATGTTCTGTCTCAAAGATCCATTTCCCCAGGCTCTCTGAATGTAAATGTCAAGGCAATGAAAACAGTGAAATCTAGGCTCTGGTTCCTGTAGAGTCAGAGGCACTCACCTCACACGGTGCAGCCCTAGAGCGAAGGGCTGCCTCTGTGGCCTAAAGCTTCGTAAACTCAGGTTTAGGCTGTCAGCCCTGATTTAAAGAGATTTGGTGGTTCGATTTGCTTCTGGGAGAGAACGGACATTCACAGCAGGGCTTGGGGGGTGGGCTAATAGTGAAACCTGAGCTGGCTTCTTCCCTCTCTGGAGGGGCAGGCAGAGTGAGTCACCTGTTTGCACAGAAGGCTGTGGTAATCAAATCCACAAATTCACAGGCCTTATGCCTTCACCACTTTAAACCATAAAGGTGTCGCAACATAACAGTTTTAATTGCTAAACCATAGCTGCAAACCCAAATTTCTGGATTTAATCAGAGCTGGGTGTGAAAGGCTGTGTGAATGGTGCCGTTTTTCTGCCAGGTGCATTTATTCCTCCTCTCCTTTGCTTCCTTGTTTGTCCTCAAGCTCAGACCAAAGGCCTCTGGACATTTGCCATCAGCCTGCTTTCCAACAGATGATGGGCCTATAGTGGCCATGACAGGTTTGCCTTCTTTTCTATTCCTTGCTGGAATCTGTGGACCTTGTATCCACCCCAACCTCCTGGGAACAAGCAACTCTGAATTCTTCTTGCCATAGCGGGTATGAATCTCAGTCTACAACTTGGGTGGAAAAGAAATAAGGCTTTCTTTCCTAGAACTCCATTCAATGCATGCCTTCCCCCTCCTTAGCTGATATAAAACCTCTATCTGCAGTCTTTTCTAGGCGTATATTCCCCACTTCTCAGCAATACAACCATACTGAGCATGAGTATGGGTTTTAAGGAAGGCCAAGGTTTAAGGGTTTAAGGAACGCTGAGAGTTTAAGGAAGGCCAAGATAAGGGAGAGGGATGACTCTGGCTCTGAGTCATCAGTCACATGGTTGATGGAGGGATCTGTTGGCCCTGCCCACGTGGTCCCTTTGGCAGGGTCCTCTGCTCCTTTGTTGACATTATCAGTCCCCGGGAATCGTTCTGAGGTTGTCCCAGTGGCTGGCTGTACCACCTTCCACAGGCTTTCAGGTTCAGTCAGTATTCCTAGAATCCGTTCCTTTCTTGAATAGGAGGAAGGGAGAAAGGAAAATATAGGAAGAACCAACAGTGTGGTTTAACACCCTCCTGCATAATCCAGGCTGGCAGCCAGCTCTCCCTTTGTTCCAGCTCTGTGTTTGTACATGGGGTTGTACAAAATATAGATAGTTTTTCAAAAGGAATAGTAAAATAATAAAAACTTAATATTCTGTAACCTCAACTGAGTAAGTTCTGAACCCAGCACCATCTGATTTAATCAGCACACTTGCCTTTTGAATGAAGTACTATTATTATTTCCATTTGACAGATCAGAAAACTGAGGCTCAGTGAGATAGGAAACTTGTTCAAGGTCACACAGCAAGTTGTAGGAGAGCTGGGATTTGAATTTCAGTCTTTTGACACTAGAATCCAAATCCTTATTTATAAGCAGTGCATATTAGGGGCGCCTGGGTGACGCAGTCGGTTAAGCGTCCGACTTCAGCCAGGTCACGATCTCGCGGTCCGGGAGTTCGAGCCCCGCGTCAGGCTCTGGGCTGATGGCTCGGAGCCTGGAGCCTGTTTCCGATTCTGTGTCTCCCTCTCTCTCTGCCCCTCCCCCGTTCATGCTCTGTCTCTCTCTGTCCCAAAAATAAATAAACGTTGAAAAAAAATTAAAAAAAAAAAAAAGCAGTGCATATTAGATGGGGTTATTTTTAATGTCTATTTTTGAGAGAGAGGGAGAGAGAGGGAGACAGAAGATCCATAGCCGGCTTCATGCTGACAGCAGACAGCAGACAGCAGACAACCCTATGTGGGGCTCAAACTCACTAACCATGCGATTATGCCCTGAGCAGAAGTCAGATGCATAACCAACTGAGCCAGCCAGGTGCCCCATCTTAGATGCTTTAAAAGAAAATGTCAGACCTGTGACCCTAGTGTGGCATTAGAAAATTCTGTTTTCGGGGCGCCTGGGTGGCGCAGTCGGTTAAGCGTCCGACTTCAGCCAGGTCATGATCTCACAGTCCGTGAGTTCGAGCCCCGCATCAGGCTCTGGGCTGATGGCTCAGAGCCTGGACCTGTTTCCGATTCTGTGTCTCCCTCTCTCTCTGCCCCTCCCCCGTTCATGCTCTGTCTCTCTCTGTCCCAAAAATAAATAAACGTTGAAGAAAATTCTGTTTTCATGCAGTTTGTACCATAGTCCAGCCCTTCTCTCAGTGGGACTATAAAACAGCACCCAGCAGTTATTGTAGCTCAATAAATACTTGCTTGAATTGTATATCTCATAAGCATTTGCATTTTCAAATACTTTTGTGTTTGGTTCAGATGTGGCAAAAAAAATTGAGAGGTCACTGGCAGCATTGTCATATCTAAAAAAATAAGAAAAACCCTTCTGGGGCTTCTGGCTGTCTTGGTTGGTGTAGAGCATGTGACTCTTGATCTTGGGGTGGTGAGTTCAAGCCCCATGTTAGGGGTAGAGTTTACTAATAAAAAAACAGAAAAGAAAAGAGAAAAAAACCCTTCTAGTTCTGCTTAAATTTTTGTTTGCCTACTGAGACTTCTTCAACTCTTCCTTTGACTTCCCAGCTCCCATCCAAACTCACTGAGGATAGGATGCCCTGTAGGGTTTTGGCATGTCTGACCTGGCTTTTAAATCCTGGCTCAGACACTTGCCGTTTGTGTGACCTGACCTGGTTTTCATGCCTCTCTGAGTCTCCACAAAATGTCCATAAAATGAGAGCAATAATACAAGTCTATGAAAAGTAGGCATTCAAGGTCTACTTCCTATCTCTGTTAATTATATCAACCACATCAGAGTATTCTATCAATTTAAACTTATACTTAAGGTCCTTCTGAAAACTCTTAAAGGATGCCATTCCTTTATTTATTATTAATTATTAAGTATTAAGTATTATTTATTTATTTATTTATTTATTTATTTATTTATTTATTTTAGAGAGTGTGAGCAGGGGAGAGGGACAGAGGCAGAGAGAGAGAGAATCCTAAGTGAGTTCTATGCTTAGTGTAGAGCCCAACATGGGGCTTGATCCTATGATCCTGGGATCATGACCTGAGCCAAAACTAAGAGTGGGATGCCCCATCAGACGCCCCTATCATTATTATTTTTTTTTTTATGTTTGTTTTTGAGAGAGAGAGAAAGAGACACAGAGCACAAGTCGGGGAGGGGCAGAGAGAAAGGGAGACAGAATCCAAAGAAGGCTTCAGGCTCTGAGCTGACGGCACAGAGCCCCATGCAGGGCTCAAACCCACCAACTGTGAGATCATGACCTGAGCCGAAGTCAGATGCTTAACTGACTGAGCCACCCAGGAGCCCACAATTTGTCTTAGTCTAGGTCACAATTTTACTGGCTTTAATCATCTGCATATACCTTTACAATTTTTGTGTTTTCTATTTAATATCTGTGTTCTTACTAGTATGGTTCCTTAAATTGATTAGTTTTTAACTCTGTTCTAGACCTAAGGAATAGTGTCTGTGACATCAGTGGCTTGATGAGTTAGGTGTTTTCATATATCTTAGAAAAATACATAATTAAGATATCAAATAGTTGTCTATGTGCCACCTAAAGTTATTTCATGGGGCACACTTAAGAAACACTAGTTTTGTCATATTTATATCTATATTTTAGGATGAAAAACCAGTAATAACACACAAAAAAACTGTGATGGCATGTTTACTATTGTATGCTTCTACTTATATGAACATTTAGGAAAGGCAAAACTCTAGAGACAGAAAGCAGATCAGTGGTTGCCTGGGGCTAGGGATGGAAGTGGGGACTGACCTTGAACAGGAACCAGGGAAGTTTTCAGAGTGATGGAAGAATTCTAAGATGATGGTGGTGATGGTTGCACATCTGTATGAATTTAGACAAATTCATCAAGCTGTGTGTTTCAAATGAATATATACTATGGTTTATAAATTATATCCCCAAGAAGAAAGAGAAAGAGAAAAAGAAAAGAAATGATCAACCAGAAGGGGGCCTGAGGAGGCTCCTGGAATCCAGGTGATGTTTTGTTTCTTGATCTGGGTATTAGTTACAAGAGTATGTTCACTTTGTGAAAATTCATCAAGCCATTCATTTATGCTTCATGTACATTCCTACATGAACATTATATCCCAGTAACAGGATTTACTAAAAGAGAGAGAGAGAGAAGAAAAAATCAGCTAAGATGGGGCGCTCAGGCCCCGGGGCGCGTACCGTAACTTCCCAATAAAAAGTTGCTACTTTCTTGTTTATTATTTTTTGTAATGACATCATCCTGCCAACTTAGTTTTATGATGTGAAGGGTTTAGGTTTTATGTGTCTTAGTTCAGAAAGGGTTATGAAAAGATATATTTAGCTAATCACACCAGTGCTATAAGAATGTCAGCGGAATTCATTGTTTCTTAATTATTCATAGCAATTATCAATGTGGACAATATTCAACTTGCAACCAAAACAAATGGATGTTTGAAGAGGCCTTGGTGGAACAATCAAATCATCAGTCTCAAAATGTCCCCTCTCTCAGCCCAGTCCTGCTGCCTGCCAGTGTTTCAATTCTATATTTATCTTTTCAAATCAGCTGTGTAGCAATTAGTTATTATAATAGGAGCTACCAGTTTATTGTGTGCCAACTTCATGCCAGGCACTGCATTATCAGAGTTTTTCATACTTTAATTGCTTCATTTCACTGTCACAACAACCCTGCCAAGAAGTTTTTTTATACCATTTACAGATGAGGAAACTGAGGCCGGGGGCTCCTGAGTGGGTCCAAGCCCATATTACTGGTGAGTGACAGAGCCAGAGGGCAAGCTGGAGTCCCACCCATGTACTTTGCTATGTCTTGGGACCTGACGTCAGTGACAGGAAATAAGTGACATGTGTAACAGAATTCTGAAGCCCGAATCATGGCTCTTCACGCGGTTACTATAGTTACTTCTCTACATGATGCTCTCGTTTTTGCTGGGATAACAATGGATCCACTGTTAGCCATTGAGGTGTTTGAACCCCTACCTTCATCATGAAACCCGAGAGACATTTTAATAGGTTTAAAATAGCATTCCTGCCTTTTAATCATATGCTTTTATTTCAGAAGCTCCTGGAACGTTAACAGATCTCGTACTATGGCAGCTTTACCAATATTATTTTTTTCCACTTTGTGTAAAACATAAGAGCTCTCTAAAGGTAATACAACCATATTTAGACAGAGACCTGAAAAACTCCATGACAAAAGTGATCCATTTGGCTGGGTGGGAGGTGCATGGATGCCCCTCACTAGGTTGAGGGAGGGTGTGGGCATCTGGGCAGGAAGATGTATGGAAAGAGAGGCCTTGGATATGGTAGGAAGGAGAGGCCATAGGGCCTTGGGAGAGATAGCAGAAGAGGCAAGAGCTGTGTCTTACAAGTGGATATGGCTCTTGCTAAGCTAATAAACACATGCAGAGGAGGTGGTTTGGATTAGGAATGAGGTGGGGGGGGGGTGTTGGATGGGCTAAATGGGTGATAAACATTAAGGAGGGCACTTGTTGGGATGAGCACTGGGTGTTATATGTAAGTGATGAATCACTAAATTATTACACTATATCTTAACTAGGATTTATTTTATTTATTTTTTAATGTTTATTTTTGAGAGAGAGACAGAGACAGAGAGACAGAGCATGAG